TTGTATATAGCGATTTTTTTTATTTTTCCTAAGCTTCCTTATTATTAGTAGACGTAACACCCATGCATCGATATGCTGTTTTACAAAAAATACATATATTAGTGAATTACATTAATTTTTAAACAAATTAATCAAAATCATATATAAGACAAATATAGTCTTACCTCCCCATCCAAATAGCCACTGTCTTCAACCCCTAATAGCACACCCCACCAAGACCGATCAAGCAACAAAAACATTTCATCGTTGAGTTTGTTGATGTCAGTGTAACACCCTTGGCTCCGCTCATGTAGATAAAAATCAACTGCGGTCTTAGCCCAAAGGGTATTATCCACAATTGTTTCCGGTAGTGTCTCCTCTCCACTTCAGATACCGGAAGGGTACTAGCCGGTAACTCATACGAGAGCCAACTCTCATCCATCATGTCCGGAACCGGTGGGGTTTTCTCAATACTTCGATATATTACCCCATGTGAATCGGGCTCTGGAATGGTGGGAGGGACCTCTTCAACGATGACAGTGGCCTCTTGAACGGTGGGGGGAATCTTGAGGGAGAATAGGGGCCTCTTGAACGATTGGAGGGGACTCTTGAGGGATGACCGGTGAGTCGGGCTTCTTCTTGCGGAGTCTTCGCACCATTGGGGTGAACGGAGACGTAATAGCACGTCCACGCCGTCTGATGCGTGAACTCCGTCGTGCAAGGAAAACCCGACGTAAAGCATCCACCTTATCGGGCCGCTAAAAAAAATTAATACATAAATCAGTAAATAAACAGACATGATATTAAACAAAGACAAATATGTTTCAAACTAGCATTGTATTCACCTAAATCATTATTCTATCATAGTTCACAAAATGCTCAGATAACATTCCAGAAGTAAGCACTTATATAAACATTTAAAAGGACAACATATATAAACATTCCAGAAGAAGAATAGTTTACTTTCGCAACACGAAACTTAAAATCGCAACGCGAAATGACTATCGCAACGCGGAAATGGCTATCGCAATGCGAAATGAAAATCGCAACGACAAAATCGCAACGCGAAATGAAATCGCAACGAAAAAATCGCAACGCGAAATGAAATCGCAACGACAAAATCGCAACGCGAAACACAAATCGCATTGCGATTTTCATTTCGCGTTGCGATTTTGTCGTTGCGATTTCATTTCGCGTTGCAATTTTGTCGTTGTGATTTTCATTTCGCATTGCGATAGCCATTTCCGCGTTGCGATAGTCATTTTCGTGTTGCGAAAGTAAACTATTCTTCTTCTGCAAATTGAAACTTGAATGGATTGCATTACTTCAACCAAAAGACAAAAACAAAACCAAAAACAAATACTAACAAAACAGATTGGCAGCAACCGAATGAATTACGAGTATGAAAAATCTTAAACTTACCTCGTTGCGTAGAGTATGAACCTCATTCTGCAACGATGCTACCATCTCACGTAGAGCGGCTACCTCACCGCGTAATGTAGACACCTCAACACGCCATGCACCATCGTCTTTGCGTAAAGTACCGACCTCCTCACGCAAGGCATTGACCTCATCACGTAACTCCCCTAACTCATCCCGTTGAGGAGGAGGTGGAGAACATGGAGATAAACGTCGTGACATCTTTGCCGGTCGCCTATCTTGCGGTGATGGTGGAGAAGAGGCTCGATGATGTGAAAGAATAGGTGATGGCTGTCGTTGTGGAGGTGTATAGCCGGGTCGATCAGATGATGGCTCTAGGTGAGGTGATAGCTCTGGGCGAGGTGATGGCTCCCGAAGTGGAGGCTGCTCATCAACCGTTCCATCAAAAAAACGATTACTAGCTTGCCACCAATCAGTGGCAAGCTCAGCTTCCGTGGGTGTCAGCCTCTGTAGAGGAGTGTTGGCCTCCTAACAATATAAAAGCTTAAACAAAGTTAAATGTGTACTAGTAATAACTTGTTTATAAACATATGGTAGTATTTATGTTAACTTACATTATTTATTGTCGTATACCGTAGTAAATCTTCCCATTGCAAGGTTCGTTTCCTCTTCCAGGAAATAGCCCTGGGAATATTATTTGAAGTTTTTATTGCATATGTCTTCATGGCGGGAAAGGCCTCAAATATCCAAATCTACAAACAATATATAACAAACATTAGTAATTGTTAAATAATTACTTATAATTTTGGAAACATTATATAAAAATTCTTACCTTAAAAGCCCAAATAAAGCCTGTCAAAGTGTATTTGGAACCATCGCCATGCAAACTTTTTCGATCATCCAAGGCAGACGATAACTTATTCCATGTAGCTTTCCATAAATACGAGCCCCACGGAAACAGGTTCCACGCATTTAGGTCTTCTACCAATTTGATTAGATCATTTGGAATAGGTTGTCTGGCCTCTCTGCCTAAAAAGCCGGCATGCAAAAGAATTAGAAGGCATACTCGGACAACGTCGACGTCATCCATCCGAGTAAAACCATCTTTATTATTCAAAATCTTGTCAGGTCTTCTACGTGTAGACTCGGCCTCTCCAGCTCAGGAAAAACCCGGGATAGCCATGATGGGCGGGTAATGTGTCTAGTGTACCGACCTACATCATCGTGTCCGAAGCGTAGACCGGTGATTAAGCAAAACTCCTCCCGCCCAAAACACGTATACGCCGGTGGAAAATCAAACCATATCTCTTCATCACGACGTTGTATAGTCTCTGGTAGATCTCTAGTCATGGTTTGAAGAAACAGGTGTGTCAACATCGCATCTCCACCGGGATGTTGTACTTTCAGCCATGGCCCGAAGCATGTATCCTCAAACATTTTTCTTTGTGCAGGTGAAAGCTTCGACGCAATTGTTTTGGCCAGGCTGACTTTATTTCTCAAGGTCAATTGAGCCGAATAAAAGTTCTACAAAAACAATAAACATACTAAATTAGATATACCAAAAACTACACTGTGAAGATATACCAAAAACAATAATAAACATAAATAGTAGTAGTTTATTCTTCAAACTTAAATATGCAACACTGTGAATTTCGTATTTGTCTTTGTTTTTTGGTTGAAGTAATGCAATTCATTCAAGTTTCAATTTGCAGAAGAAGAATAGTTTCTGAAAATGAAAATCGCAACACGAAAATGACTATCGCAACGAGAGAATCGCAACGCGAAACTAAAATCGCGTTGCGATTTGCATTTCGCGTTGCGATTCTTGGTTGATTTAATAAGCAATCTAAGTGAAATGGTTAATCTATTATTGAAATTACCAGTAAACCTATCATCAATTTCAATATGAAAAACCTAATAATAATGCAAAAATTTCAAAAAGAAAATAATTAAAGAAACTAACCCTCGTTGGTTGATTTGGTTGATTTTCCATTTCTGATTGTTAGGGTGGCTCTGAGAGATTTAGATAGACAGATTTCGCCGGAGATGGGGACGGATTTCGTCGGAGATGGGTGAGAGAGTGAGAGATGGAGATGGGACTGAGTTGTGATTTTAGGTTTTAGGTTATGAGTTGCGATTACGGGATATACTGTGGACAGTTCAGTGTTCCAATATATTTATATTCATGTTTGGAATTTAAAAATAAAATACTTGGCTAGGATACTAATGGCGCTTTGAAAATCGCATTGTGATTATGTATTATCGCGTTGCGAAAGTCAGTATCGCGTTGCGAAAGTAAGTATCTCGTTGCGATTTTTTATTATCGCATTGCGATAGTCAGTATCGCATTGCGATTTTCCCAATTCGCGTTGCGATTTACTTATTCGCATTGCGAATTTCCCAATTCGCGTTGCGATTTACTTATTCGCATTGCGAATTGGGAAAATCGCAACGATACTGTAGACCATCGCAACGCGATTTTCAACTATCGCATTGCGAAAATGCAACGCGTATTTGCGATAATGGAGATCGCGTTGCGAATTAGCGATCGCATTGCGATTTTGTTGGTCATTTTGGCAAATCCGGAAAAAGTTGGTTAAAATCGTATATTATATGGGATTTTTGGTCACTGAGGTTATTTTCTCATATATTAATTACTCACACACAATAAATAATTAAATATCTTAATTTTTATTATGTTAGAGTTTTAATGAGTTAGTTTATTCATAATTTTTTCTTCAGATTTTTTGGATAATCCAAAATTGAAATTTATCCAATCCGAATATCTGAAATTTTTCAGATATCTGATCTGATTTATCCGAAAACCAAAAAAATGATCGGATTACCAGATCAATGGATCATATTAATCGGTTTGAATCTTTTTGCGCACTCCTAATTGTAACATTGTTTAAGACCTTTTAAAAAGGAAGACAAAAATGTTAAATTAAATTATTTTGAATAAATACTACCTTACGATTACATCAGACTATTCGAAAAAAATATAAAAGTGTAAATATGGGATTTAAACCTTCTAATTTTTTTTAACTTTTATATACTTTTTTAGTGTGTCTAATAGTTACATAAGTTCTAACCATTTAGAGTCGAATAAGAGGCGTCAGATCCTTATACGAGAGCAAAACTTTCTAAATAATATTTTTTATCTACAAAATTTAAATATAATATCATATATTTAATAAAAACTATTTTTTTTAAATCTTAACATTTACCTTAAAATTATAGTTTCTCTTTATTTAGTCTAATAAAATATACATTAAATTTGTTATCACTCAAATCAAACCATTAAACCATAAATAATCTTCAATTAATGATAGAAAAAAAATGATATAATTCAGTCATTAATGTAATAAATAATTTAAATTACGGAACCTGTTTTTTAAAAAATAAATTGTTGAATTTAATTAAACAATTTTAAATGCATTTTTATTTTTTTCCATTCATCGTTTGATAATGGATAATGTGCTATGAAGTCCAGCTCAGCACCAACGGCCTGTAAGCGTAAGCCCATAAGTCGACATCAACTATGGCGCGAAAATCATCTACAATTTCCCGCCAAACAAGGGATCCTTTACTCAACGAGTAGGCAGTACCGTTCTTTTTTACTTAAAATTAGTCTCCAAAAAAAATAAAATCTGGCCCTGCTGTTTTTGCCTCTCTTCTTTTCGTAGCCATGGCTTCAGATTCTTCTCCCGCTAATTTCAATAGTGGTAATGCTCTTTCTCTCTTCGACGATGCCTTTGATTATTTTCTATATTTGAAGTGAAATTTGGTGGGCTGTTGTTTTTAAATCTAAACCATTTTTTCAGGTCCTTCCTCTCCTGATGATTCCTTCTCAAGTCCCATCCCTGACACCTCTTCACCAGCTCATCGCCGCCGGCGTGGCCGTCGTCAAGCCACCACTCCATCTGCAGCCGCCGTAACCCCGCCTTCAAACCCTTCTCGTTTTGCCAACTCAGCATCGACTCCAACTCCATCCCGATCCACCAGGCGTGGCCGACGTCCAGCAACCACATCCCCAACTCCACCCGCTGCCGCCACTCCATCCTCCACAGATGATTTCCCGCCTCCATCTTCAGATGGTGGTGACGATATGGAGGAGGCCACTCCTACCTTTGTTTGGGGTACGAATATCAGCGTCCAAGATGTGAAAAATGCAATTCAAATGTTCATCAAGCATTTCAGAGACCCACAGGAATTAAGCAATGATATCTATGGAGAAGGGAAGTATACGAGAATGATACATAGAGTGCTTGAAGTTGAAGGAGAGTGGATCGACGTTGATGCTCATGATGTTTTTAATTATGACTCTGATTTGTATAACAAAATGATGAGATACCCCCTCGAGGTTTTAGCGATTTTTGATATCGTCTTGATGGACATCGTTAGTTTGATTAATCCTCTGTTCGATAAGCATGTGCAAGTTCGGATTCATAATCTGAAGAGTTCTACTTCCATGAGAAATCTCAACCCATCCGGTCAGATCTCTTTCATTCTGCATAGATTGTGCATTTTTGTGTGTCTGTGTGTTGGATTAATTTGGGTTTTTTTTTCTTTGGTTGATTTAGATATTGAGAAGATGGTGTCATTAAAGGGGATGATTATTAGGTGTAGTTCAATAATTCCCGAGATTAGGGAAGCAGTGTTCAGGTGTATTGTATGCGGCTATCATTCTGATCCTGTTGTTGTTGATAGAGGTAATTGATCTTTGTGATGATCCTTTTACAAGTTTGGTTTTTGGAGTAATGTTTCTAATGGATTTTTTATTGGTCAATGGTGCTATAAGGACGAATGACTGAGCCTACCTCGTGCTTGAAGCAAGAGTGTATGACCAAGAACTCAATGACGTTGGTTCACAACAGATGCAGGTAAGTACCAGTTTAAATTTCAGTAAATTTTACAGTAAGTGGACTTGCTTAGTCACACTGATGTTAAGACCTATTTAAATGCTATTTTCTTGTCTTATTGGTGTGTTTAGATATTCTTAACTTCATTTTTACTTGATCATGAAGTAGGTTTGATTCTTCCGTTCTTTGGGGTTAAACAATATGCATATTAGAGTTATTATGAGATCAAAACTAATGGGTTCTATTGCCCAAACACCAGGTTTGCTGATAAGCAGGTTGTGAGGCTCCAGGAGACACCAGATGAGATCCCTGAAGGAGGGACACCACACACGGTGAGCTTGTTGATGCATGATAAGCTAGTGGATGCTGGAAAACCTGGTGACAGGGTTGAGGTTAGACACTTAAGAAAATATGTTGTGTGATCACAAGTGGCCTGGCAGTTTTTTTTGTTTGCTCAATATTCTTGTCTATTGCATTAGGTCACTGGCATTTACAGGGCTATGAGTGTCCGACTTGGGCCAACACAAAGAACTGTGAAATCACTGTTCAAGGCATGTCTTCTCTTAGCTTTTGCTAGGTTTATAGCTCTCCAAGAATTTCAATATATATATTTAAAAATTTATTTGCTTGCAGACATACATTGATTGTCTTCACATAAAGAAAACTGATAAGTCGAGAATGACAGCTGAGGACCCTATGGAAACTGATAAGGGCTCACAAAGGATAGATGATGATGTCCAGTTTGATGAAGACAAGGTCTAATAAATTGCCCATCCTTTTCTTGCAGAATTATATTGGCTTCTTGTCTCATGACCTTTTTCAATACTCCAGGTGGATAAGTTGAAAGAGTTATCAAAACAACCAGATATATATGAAAAACTAACTAGGTCATTGGCACCCAACATTTGGGAGCTCGATGATGTGAAGAGAGGTCTTCTTTGCCAGGTATCGTTTGTGATATTAGGCATTCAGTATTTGCTCAGATAGTGATAGCTAGTTCTTTGCCTTCAATGTAGCTTTTTGGCGGGAATGCTCTTAAGTTGCCATCTGATGCTAGCTTCCGTGGTGACATCAATATCCTTCTAGTTGGTGATCCTGGAACCAGCAAGTCCCAGCTACTCCAATACATACACAAGCTTGCTCCGCGTGGCATTTATACCAGTGGAAGAGGGAGCTCTGCTGTTGGATTGACTGCTTATGTTGCCAAGGATCCTGAAACAGGGGAAACTGTATGATATGGTTTTCTTTCTCTTTCTTACCTTGATATTAATTAGAATATTGGAATTTGATGTTTGATTTTCATTTATGATTTATGAATAACCTCCAGGTTTTGGAAAGTGGAGCCCTTGTTCTGAGTGACAGAGGCATCTGTTGTATTGATGAATTTGATAAGATGTCTGATAATGCGAGGAGTATGCTGCATGAGGTTGGTTATGCATTGGCTTTTCTTCTTCCCTATTGAGACATGATTTGTTCACTGATCCAATGTTGAAGATGAGAAAAATGTAGATGCAAAAAATGCTTGAGAGTCCTCCCAAGTGTCAGCAGTTTTATATATTAGGCTTTCTGAAATGTTGCTTGAATAAGTGCTATATGTTTTATACTTTTGGAAGAAGTATCATAACAAGAATGAGGTGTCAAATATTTAAACTCGTGATTTAAATGTTTTCCAAATTTTAACCATTCATTTTCTTGTACATGGTATGAAAGTTGACAGCAGTTGATTCGCTGTATTTCAAATTCCAGGTCATGGAACAACAAACTGTTTCAATAGCAAAGGCTGGTATAATTGCATCTCTTAATGCAAGGACTTCAGTTTTGGCTTGTGCAAATCCTAGTGGCTCGCGCTATAATCCACGTTTGTCTGTGATTGACAACATCCACCTGCCTCCAACCTTGTTGTCCAGGTAAGATGATGCTTACAAGTATTGTCTTGCCCATGCTTCTTGATTTGGATGCTTAAATGATTTATCTAGTTTCAAATACTGTGGGAGGTGTTATTTCAATAGTCTGTGGTTCTCGACTTTAAATCGTGTCTGTCAGCTATAGTTAATTGTAATTAATTGGCACCATGTAGAAATAGGTATGATATTGCTCAGATCCTTGTAATTAATTGGCACCGTGTTTCCCAGATTTGATTTAATCTACTTGATTCTCGACAAGGCTGATGAACAGACAGACAGGCGTTTAGCTAAGCATATTGTTTCTTTACATTTTGAGGACACAGAGGTTTGTTGAACAATTATCATCTATCTTGTTCAGCGTTTTTGTCCCTTGGTTTTCAATTTTATTCCTTCTATTTGCAGATTGCTGAACATGATGTCATAGATCTTGCTACATTGACATCATATGTGAGTTATGCTCGTAAGAATATTAACCCAAAATTATCTGATGAAGCTGCTGAAGAGCTAACCCGAGGGTATGTTGAGATGAGGAAAAGAGGAAATTTCCCTGGCAGCAGTAAAAAGGTATGATGGATTTAGTTTTAATGTCTCCAGATTCTCTTCATTGTTGAACATTTTGCATTCTTGGATCAAGTATAATCTTGACATGAACTTTCTTTAACCTGGTTTCTGTATTTTGATATGTCAACAGGTCATCACAGCAACACCAAGGCAAATTGAGAGTCTAATACGTCTCAGTGAAGCATTGGCTCGTACTCGCTTCTCGGAATGGGTTAGTTACCTCGGGTTTATCTTAGCAAGCTATAATGATTTCATTATGAACTGAATAATGAAAATCCATTCTGTTATTTGAAGGTTGAAATGAGAGATGTAACTGAAGCATTCCGGCTTTTGGAAGTTGCTATGCAGCAATCAGCAACTGATCACTCCACTGGTAATGTTTTAACCGTACTTTATTGCGAATTCATTTTCCCCCCATAAGAACAAGCTAATGAATCCTTCCATTTTCCCCTTTCCTTTCTCTAAAGGAACCATTGATATGGATCTTATAACCACTGGAGTTTCCGCAAGTGAAAGGATGAGGGGGAGAGTGTGCTATCAGCAGCACGCAACATAATAATGGATAAGCTACAACTCGGGGGACCATCAATACGATTATTAGAGGTAAGTTGGTTCAGTAGATTCAAATCTGGAAGATTTAATATAGTTCCGAAAATCAACTGCTTGATCACCATACTTTGGTTAATCCTACAGTTACTGGATGAACTGAAGAAGCAGAGCTCTGGCAGTGAAATCCACCTTCATGATGTGAGAATTCAAGCCTCTTTCTTCCTCACTCCCATTTAAAATGAACATGATCAAACTGGTTAACGCCTATTTGCTTTTATTATCCAATTCAGCTAAGAACTGCAGTTGCAACTCTAGCCAGTGAGGGATTTGTTGCTCTTCATGGCGACAGCGTGAAGAGGATATAAAGGCTAGAAGCTAAGAGAGACCCCAAACCGACGTGCTAACCGTGAATGCTGCCTTGCTACGTCCAAGATACCTTCTGCAAGAAACATGTACTCTTATATGGTATCACTCAGCCTGTGGTGGACATTCTTGATAGAAGAGAGAATGAATTGAGTGTTAGGTATGTCATTAAGTAGGTGGTGGTGACATTGTATCATATCCTTAGCAGCTTCTGGTAATACATGGCTTATGCTTTTCCATTTCATTTGCTTAAAAAAATAGTGGTGTTTAACGATAAAATGAAGTGGTACCCATTGCAAAGGTTATTATTATTTTTCTTCCTATTCATGGGGTATATCTAGAGACTTTAATGAGGTGGATTTAAATCGAATAGAAAGCGAAGTTTTTAAAGTATAGGGTACGTGAAGTGGTGAAGCCTTAATCCAGGATTTAGGTTCAATCTAGGCAGGTGGTTTTGATTATCCAATTATTGAATGGTTTATGGCTCAGGCATAATAGCTTAACAGTACTTCCGGTAGCTAATACATTAATTTCATAAATTAAGGAAGAATATATTTATTTAATATATGAGTTTCACTTTGTGTATTTGAATCATTTGTTTAAAATTAATATTTTTAATACTAAATAAAATACTTATTATATTTATTTATTTATAGTGTAATTATTAATATTTATGTTATGTTTTTATATAAAAATAATAAATATGTTCGTTTGTAATTTTTTATTTAATGTTTATGAATAGATTTTTAATTATTAGCGAATATATGTAGTTATATGATTATGAATATATTTGTAAAGATCTTTTTAATGTTCATGAATAGTAAATAAACGAATATAAATATATATATATAATTTTTTTAATAAGAATATACAAATTTAAATAAATGCATAGACATAAATTTTTAAAAAAGTATAAAATGGATATAGATATACAATATATTTAAAAGTAAACAAATGAATATAAATGAAATATAAATAGTGCTTATTCATTCGACTTTAATTTATTTTATTATTTAAAAAATTATTTATATTCGTCTCATGAAATGAAAGGATTAAAATTATAATGAGATTTTTTTAAAACATAAGATAAATGATTGGTATTAATTTGAATAAAAAAGAAAGAAAAATGAAAATAAAAGAAGAAAAAGAATCTTATGATAACTCGCGCCGTAAAAAAGGGGAAAAAACTTACGTGGAAGCTTGTGATGGTGAGCTATTAGAGGACGAAATCTCTTACGATCTACAAATCTTTCCCCCGGTCTCGTTACGAGGAAGTTTTACCGTGTCAGTTTTAATATATAGTTAACAAAAGACGTTATTGATTTTATTATTTTTTTAATAAAATTGATAAAAATTTATATAAAATATTATTATTTCTACTTAAATATTAATATTTTTAATATTTTTGGTAAAATACTTAATAATAATAAAATCGATAAAAAAATAATGTTTTAGATAGTGTTTTATCAAATATGTTAACAAAACCGATAAAATGTCCAATAATAACAAAAATGATAAAAATAATAATATTTCCAGTAACTTTTTTATCAATTTTATTAAAAAATAATAATAAAACCGATAACACATTTACTTAACTGGAAATTAAGGATGCCGTGAGACTTTCCCCTTGTTACTCCCTCTTTCCCGTGGCCGTGTTTTTTTGTTTTTAACTACGCACTGAATTATTTGAACACCACAAATTCAAATCTAAATCCAAAAAAAAAAAAAAATCGAAATAGATCAATTTTTAAATTGATTATTAAAAAGTAAAATTGTTTTATATTAAAAGTGCGAACTTTAAAAAATTACAAGCTTTAAAATTAAAAAATTTAAAGTAAGTAAAATTATATTATAAATAGAAAATATTTAAATTATATGAAAATTTAAAAAAATTTAAGAAATGCGATCGTACTCAGCACAACACCCCATGGTTCATATATATATATATATATATATATGTTAGGATACACTTACATTGTGTAAAACTCATTTACTTTTCACATTTTAGGATAGTTGGATGAAGAGAAATTAAAGGCTAAGGTTAATTCCTTGTATTTTTTGTGTGAATATTTTTTCATTTTCTACTGTTAATCTATCATCCAAATGTCCTAAAATAGTGTAAAACTAAAAGATTAGTTTTACACAGTGTAATTGAACACTTCCCCTATATATATTGTTAAGATCTACTTACATAATGTAAAACTCTTCAAATCTTACACATATTACCGTTAGATGAGTAAAAATAAATAATTAAGATTAATTTTTTTATATAATTTTTTTTTCATAAAACATAAATAGATTTTTAGGTAAGATTTCAGTAAATAACCTTCAAAAATTAATGGTATAGTTTATATCTTTGCTAAAAATTAACCACTCAACTACCTTATTAAGACCAATTTCAATTTTTTTTAAAAAAAATTGAAAATTAAATTTTATAAAAAAGGAGTATGGGGTCAAAATAACAAAACATATAAGCGTTAAATACCGAAATTCCATTTATTTAAAGCTTTAGAATTACAAGAAGATCGACATTGTGTATACTAATTTTTTGGATCTTAATTTAAAAGTTATGATTATTTAAAATTTTATAATTTCTTTAAATCATATTCCTAAATAATACACGTGGTGCCAAATAGATCTAGATCCATTATTGAGATCTTTGAATATATGTTTGATTTGCTCTAATTCAAATATCATAATGTATGAATTATATTCGGATTTATTTCAATCAAATTTTAAAATATATTAATTAATAGTATGAAATTACATTATAATACTTCTAAATAATAATAATAATAAAAGATATGAACCTATTTTAAATTTATTTATAAAATAAAAAACTTTTCCTTTTTAAAAAAACTTTTTCTTCGATAATGTAAAACGAACGAAAGACAATACATAGGGTCCGAGGTATCGTTTTTTATTCCTTTTTATTTAATATTATAATATGTGTTTTAGGTCAATGTATTATATATTATATATATATATATATATATATATATATATTATATATATTTAGTTTAATGGGTGAGAAAGCCCCATTCAGAGAAGATGACATGTTGCGCTATGGTCGAGGATAATTGTTTGCCCTTTATTATTATTATTATTATTATTATTATTAAGGATTAATAAAATAATATTTATTCGTGATTTCTAAAAACAATAATAATTTCTTTAGTTATTGATATAATTTTGTTCATGCAATTGTTTTATCTCAAAATACGAAAACTTTCTAATGCTTCATTTTTAACTTTAGGGATGATCTGAAGCTTTTGAAATTATAATCATTTTTGGTTAAAGTGTTAAGGTTAAAATGTAGAATATTTGAATTAAGGTCAAAATTAAATGATTCTATCTCAAAATTATTATTTAAAAAAATCTTGCAAACAATTGCTAAAAATGTTTTCTTTAATTAATATTCAAAAAGAATAAATAGATTTATTTGGATATAGTTGTTTTAATTTTAGTTGTGAAAGAACTCAACATCAATGCATGAGGGTTCTTCTAGTGATGACAAATTCAATGGTTTTATGATTTTTGATAAATTCAATAGGTTGGATTATTTATCAAAAATATTTTTCAAGTATATAAATTAATTATTTAAAAAATATATAAAAAATTCAGTAATAATAATAATAATAATAATAATAATAATAATAAATTAATAGTTTTATCTCAAATTGCTATTTCTGACAAACCCAAACATTATAAATTTTAGGGTAAATTACATGGATCATCACTGTACTTTACTTTATTTCCTATTTCACTCATTGTACTTTAAATTCGTTAAATTTCCTCACTAAACTTTATACATTTAGCGCTTTTGGTCACTAAATAAAAATAGTTTTTGGTTCACTAAGATGTTAATGGCATCATCATTCCTCCTCTATCCATGGCTAACTGAAAACTTACCCACGGCGGAGGTAAGACGCATGATGATAGAGTGACGGCGAAGGGACACTACCACCTGGGTTTCGGTCGGAACTGGACAAGGAACTCATTGATGAAGGTGGTGAGGTATAACGGCGACGGAATTGGCCATAAATCGAAAAAAATCAGCATTGGCGTCGTTATAGGTTTTTGACAAAGCTTCGATCAGTCCTCGACAACGAACGACGACACTTCACAGAGCGGGGTCGATAGGAGTTTTAACGGAGAACGAAGATGCTTCCGATGCCATAGGCATTGACACTCACCAAAGAGTTTTACCGGACGATGTCATAACGCCGTTTGTGGGGGAAACGACTGAGTGACCAAATTTGTCAATTATATTAAGTTCAGTGATGAAATTAACCAATTTTAAAATACAATGAGAAAAATAGGAAATACATAAAAGTACAGTGATGATCCGTGTAATTTACCCTAAATTTTAAATTTTCAAAAGTATTGTTCAACTCAATTAAAAAAACAATTTTAATTTGAATAGTCAACTTATGTGTGCAAAAGTATATTAAAAATATTGTTTTTCTGATTCAATCTTCATATTTTTATAAAAATTAATCACTTTTCGCATCAACCATCCAATTGCGTATAGCGTCCGAACTCCGAAGAGTTGACTTCTAATACAAACTGATCTGTGTATTCGTATATAGTCTAAATATTCTATCCTTGTTTAAAAGTCAACGATTCATATAAAAAAGCAAAACCAGTGTGACCTTGAAAACTTCAAAGATGAAGCCTCTTTCTTCTTTTGTTGCCATTGTTCTGGGTTTGGTTCTGAACTCAGCAGTGTATTGTAATGGCGGAAAGACCAGCGTCTACGTTAGGAAAGTGGAGAAAACAGAGGATATGCCACTCAACAGTGATGTTTTCCGAGTTCCCCCAGGCTATAATGCACCTCAACAGGTTTTCTTTCTCTCTTTTGCATTTTGTTTATATGGATTTGGGGTTTGGATTTTAAGGTTCATATAACACAAGATCATCATGATGGAAAAGCTGTGATTGTTTCATGGGTGACCGAGGATGAACCGGGTTCCAGTGCTGTTTTTTACTGGAGTGAAAACACCAAGCACAAAGAGAAAGGCTCAAGGCAAATTCGTTTCCTATAAGTTCTACAATTACACCTCTGGTTGTTGGAAAAGAAAAGTAAAAAAAGGAGGCTTTAAAAATCATAAAGGGGTTGCATTTTCAATGGGAGGCCACTTAATTTGGTGGATTGTGCACCGAATTTGGTGCAATTAATTGTGTTGAAATTTTGAGATGAGTAAATTATATTTTAACCACTGCACACTTTAGGATATTTATAAGATTAGTCCTTAAGCTTCAACTATAAATACCCTAGCTCATTTAGCTTCAAAATCATCTCAAATCATTTCTTTCTCCCAATACTAGAGAGCTTTCTTGTGAGTAGTGAGTGTTTTGTAAACACCTGTAAATTTTCTCTCTTTAGTAAAAGATCTGCAGCAGTCCGGAGACGTAGGCAAATTGGCTGAACTCCGTTATCAATTTCGGGTATTATTTTTCCTCTTTTATTTCACATTCTCACTAATATGGTTATAGGAAATTACTCGTTTATTAGTTTATTTCTCAACAACTGGTAATCAGAGCTTTTGGTTGTGAATTTTGTCAATATTTTTGCGATGTTACTATTCATTACTATTCACATGAATAGTAAATTTCGTGAATAGTAAAAAATTTTGTCGGCGATACGAATTTGTCGACGGAGGTGTTCTAATACACGATGGTTTGCAAGAATTATCAGAAACAATCCAAACGAAACCAGATTCGAGTGGGAGTGATGGCTGCAGACGAAGGGAAAGTGAAAATTGAAAAGTTCGATGGTGCGGACTTTGGCTTTTGGAAGATGCCGATTGAAGATTTTCTGTACCTGAAAATCTATATCAACATCTCTCAGGAAAGCAACCAAAGGGCATGAAGAATGAAGACTGAGCTCTTCTCGACAGACAAACCCTTGGAGTTATCCGAGTGACGTTATCCCGTAATGTTGCTTTAAACATAGCAAAGGAAAAGACCACGACGATTCTTATGGCGGCTCTCTCCAGTATGTATGAGAAGCCATAGATCTCAAACAAAGTTCACTTGATGAGGCGATTATTCAATTTGCGAATGGTGGAAGAGGCATCAGTGGCTCAACACCTAAATGAACTCAACACAATCACAACCCAGTTGAGTTCAGTGGAAATTGAATTTGATGATAAAGTTCGAGCTTTAATTCTCTTATCATCTCTACCAGATAGTTGGAATGCTACTGTTACAACAGTTAGCAGCTCGTCGAGAAACATCAAATTAAAATTCGACGATTTTCAAGATCTGATATTGAGTGAAGAAATTCGACGGAGAGAATCGGGTGAAGCATCATCCTCCTCAGCCTTGCACACGGAGTCCAGAGGGAGAACTTCAGAAAGAAATTCAAATAGTGGCAGATCCAAATCCAGAAGGGGAAAATCAGGAACGGGAAAGAAAGATTATACCTGTTATAATTGTGGCAAGAAGGGTCACTTTAAAAGAGATTGCCAAGCATCGAAGAAAGATACTGGCGCACAGGAATCTGCCAACATGACAGAGGAGACAGGTGATGCCATGATTCTAAGCGTCAACAATCCGATTGAATCATGGATATTGGATTCAGGGGCATCTTTCCACTCCACCCCATGCCAAGAAATCATGGAGAACTATGTCAGTGGTGATTTTGGGAAGGTTCATCTAGTTGATGATGAAACATTGAAGATCGTCGGAAAAGGAGACATCCGACTAAAGTTGCCAAACTAGACCACCTGGAAGCTTAAAGGTGTGAGACATATTCCAAACCTCAAAAGAAATTTGATTTCTGTTGGACAACTTGATGGAGAAGGATATAGTACAACCTTCTCAGGCAGTGAATGGAAGATTACCAAACGAGCACTCACCATTGCTCGTGGTAAAAAGACTGGTACTCTCTATGTAAACTCAAACTTGGAGAATATCATTGCTGCATCAGATGCTGATGGAAAATCAAACATATGGCACCAAAGGCTTGGCTATATGAGCGAGAAAGGGATGAAGACACTTTTGTCAAAAGGGAAACTGTCGGATCTAAAGAGTGTAGATGTCGGACTATGCGAGGATTGCATCTTTGGCAAACAAAAAAAAGTCAGTTTTGCAAAGATTGGCAAGACACCCAAGGCAGAAAAGTTAGAGTTGGTTCATACTGATGTATAGGGACCATCTCCAGTTCCATATCTTGCAGGCTCATTATATTATGTCACATTCATCGATGATTCTACGAGGAAGGTGTGGGTTTATTTTTTGAAGAAGAAATCAGAAGTCTTTGATACCTTCAGAAAATGAAAGGCCATGGTGGAAAATGAGACTGGTTTGAAAGTCAAGCGGTTGAGGTCTGACAATGGAGGAGAGTACAGAAACAGTAGATTCAGAGATTTATGCGCAAACAATGGGATCAAGATAGAGACAACAATTCCCATGACACCGCAATAGAAAGGCTTAGCAGAGCGCATGAACAGAACTCTGAATGAACGTGCCAGAAGCATGAGGATACATGTCGGATTGCCCAAATTTCTATGGGCTGAAGCTATTAACACTGTAAATTATCTGATCAACCGTGGGCCCTCAGTTCCTTTGGATGGAAGAATACCAGAGGAAATTTGGAGCAAGAAAGAAATAAACCTTTCACACTTAAGAGTGTTTGGTTGTATTTCTTATGTACACATAAACTCTGCTGAAAGAAGTAAACTTGATGCCAAGGCCAATAAATGTATCTTTGTTGGTTATGGTGGTGATAAGTTCGGTTAACGGTTTTGGGATTACGAAAATCGAAAGATCATCAAAAGCAGAGATGTCATTTTCAATGAGAATGTGATGTACAAAGACAGGTCAACCATAGAATCAAGTAGCTCCAATACCGAAGCTGAAACAAAGGAATTTGCAGAGTTCGAGGAGATTTCTGGAAAAGATGTTCAGATCTGTCCAGAAGCAGTTCAAGAAGAACCAGGCACACCAGAACTGAGACGCTCTTCTAGAACTCCTAAACCAACCCAGCGTTATTTTCCTTCTTTGCATTACTTGTTGCTGACTGACAATGGTGAACAGAGTGCTATGATGAAGCAATGCAGGTAGAGGATTCAGTCAAGTGGGAGTCTTCCATGAAAGATGAGATGGACTCGCTTATGTCAAATCAGACGTGAGAATTAGCTGAATTACCACCAGGCAAGAAAGCGCTCCATAACAAGTGGATTTACAGGATCAAATAAGAGCACGATGGGAGAAAATGCTACAAAGCAAGATTGGTTGTCAAAGGCTTTCAGCAAAAAGAAGGTATTGACTACAATGAGATTTTTTCTTCAGTCGTGAAGCTGTCTACAATCAGACTGGTGTTGAAAATTGTAGTTGCAGAGAATTTACATCTTGAGCAGTTAGATGTGAAGACAGCTTTCCTTCATGGTGATTTGGAGGAGGAAATCTATATGAGGCGGCCAGAAGGTTTCATAGAGGCATACAAGAAAAACCAAGTATGTAGGTTGAAGAAGAGCTTGTATGATTTAAAACAAGCTCCTAGACAGTGGTACAAGAAGTTCGATAGCTTCATGAGTAGCAATGGTTTTACCAGATGCCAAGCATATCATTGTTACTACATCAAGAGGTTCGACAACAGCTTCATTATTTTATTGTTGTACGTTGATGACATGCTCGTTGCAGAATCAGACATGCAAGAGATTATAAACTTGAAGTAAAAATTGTTGAAGCAGTTTGCAATGAAAGATCTGGGCACTGCAAAGCAGATTCTTGGGATGAGGATCAAGAGAGACACAAAGCCGGGGACTTTGATATTATCACAGGCTGAGTACATCAACAAAGTACTCTCCAGGTTCAACATGCAAGATGTTAAACCAGTAAGTACACCTTTAGGTGTTCATTTTAGACTCTCCAAAGAACAGTCACCAAAGATGGAGGAAGAACGTACACACATGGTGAAGGTGACGTATGCCTCAGCAATTGGAAGTCGGATGTATGTCATGATTTATACCAGACCATATATTGCTCATGCAGTGGGAGCTGTTAGCAGGTACATGAATAATCCAGGCAAGGTACACTGGGAAGCAGTCAAATGGATCCTCAGATATCTGTAAGGTACCACAAACAAAGCACTTTGTTTCAAAGGTAGAGATACGATACTGACAGGCTATGTAGATGCTGACTTAGCCGGAAATGTTGACATCAGAAAGAGCAATACATGGTATGTCTATAATCTAGTAGGTACTGCAGTGAGTTGGGTTTCTCAACTACAGAAGATAGTTGCTCTATCCACAACTGAAGCAGAATATGTCGTTGTTACGGAAGCCAGCAAGGAGATGGTTTGGCTCCAAAGTTTCTTGGAAGAGTTAGGCAAGAAACAAGAGAACAATGTCCTTTACTGCAATATTCAAAGTGCTATACAGCTAGAAAAGAATCCGTCTTTTCATTCCAGAACGAAGCATATACAATTGAGATATCATTTTATCTGGTCTCTTCTGGAAGATGGGATTTTGAAACTTGAAAAGATTAGTGGAGCTCAAAATCCGGCAGACATGTTAACAAAGACGGTGACTACGGACAAACTGAAGTTGTGCTCAGCTTCAGTTGGCATACTAGAATAATAAGACCAGAAATATTGCTGCATTGATCGAGGTGTGAAGACAGATTAAAATCAGTCTTCAAGTGGGAGATTGTTAGAAAAGAAAAGTCAGAAAAAGAGGCTTTAAAAATCATAAAGGGGTTGTATTTTCAACAATGGGAGGCCACCGAATTCGCTGCAATTAATTGTGTTGAAATTTTGAGATGAGTAAATTACATTTTAGCCACTGCACACTTAAGGGTATTTATAAGATTAGTCCTTAAACTTCAACTATAAATACCCTAGCTCATTTAGCTTCAAAATCATCCCAAATCATTTCTTTCTCCCAATACTAGAGAGCTTTCTTGTGAGTAGTGAGTGTTTTGTAAACACTTGTAAATTTTATCTCTTTAGTAAAAGATCTGCAGCAGTACGGAGACGTAGGCAAATTGACTGAACTCCGTTATCAATTTTGGGTATTATTTTTCCGCTTTTATTTCACATTCTCACTAATCTGATTATAGAGAAATTACTCGTTTATTTCTCAACACTGGTTACATTCATCATTGTACCATCAGAAATCTAGTAATTTTGTATTCTGGTCTATATAGGACCGAGTATTATAACTTATTACTTGGTCATATCGATTTTTGAGTAATCGAGTCCCGGGTCGGCATTTTTGATATTCAATTCGGAGTCTTTTTTTAATTTGGTTGTTGAATGTTTTTGCAAATTGTAGTACAACACCAGATATTACTATGAGGTTGGTTTGGATCATACTAGGAGAACATTTTGGTTTACAACTCCTCCTTCAGTTGGTCCCAATGTCCCATATGCATTTGGCCTAATCGGTAAGTGAAACCTTCGTTAATGTGTATGCATGTATGTATGTATGTATGTATGTATGTATGTATGTATGGTCATTGCTCATGTGCTAATGTATGAGATTGGAATCATTATGCAGGGGATCTGGGGCAGAGTTTTGATTCGAATAGCACATTGACTCATTATGAGCAAATCCACAGAAAGGTCCGATGGTATTATTTGTTGGGGATCTTTCTTACGCAGATAACTATCCCAACCATGATAATGTAAGATGAGATTCATGGGGGAAGGTTTATTGAGAGAGGTGTTGCATATCAACCATGGATATGGACTGCCAGAAATCACGAAATTGACTTCGCCCCTGAAATCGTAAGCACTCATTATTTTTATATCATCACGGCATGAGCAGATGAGTCCGGCTCATAGTCACATAGATTGCGGTACGCTCTGGTATGAGAATCTGGAACGAGATCTCAATTCGCTAGGTCCCTAAAATTCGGTACGAGGGGGTAGACTTATTTTAGATCGCTCCGGTACGATGTACCAGTTTCATACGTTGCTATTTTTCTACATCAAATTTTATAAGTAACTATAAATAGTATGAATAAAATAGAAGAAATTAAAACTTCCTTAATAACTGAAATAACACATAAAAAACAGGGATTTAAACAGATATTTACCCTTAACCAGAAACAAATATAAAATTGAACAGGTAAAATTAGAAATAAATCAGTGACCTAAGTACAAAATGCGCATAAGTTACAGGGTCCTAAATACAATTTATCAAAATTCGGTTTAAGCTAAAATAATATGTAAAATAACATAAATGGTACCTAAACATTTGAAACAAAATAAGAAAATTGGGACTAATTAGGGACCGTTTTATAAAAATTCGCTAAATTACGATGGCCTAAACCTAAATTATCCCTAAGAATACGACAACTAAATCCTAATTTAACCGAAAACTTTTAAGATAAAACCTAACTAAAGGTTCAAACATAATTTAAAATACCCAAACTCAGCCGCCTCTCTCCAACTCTCCCTCTTCATCCTCCTATTTTCTTCTTCGAACCCTCACTGAGACTTCCAACCGCCGACTGATGAAGCATATAAGCCAAAACGGGCTTATTTTCATTTTGTTTCATTTCTCAGTTTTGAGAGAGAGAGAGGGGGGGATACAACCGGCGCCCAGATTCCGGTGGGTTTTCCGCCGTGTCATCGACAGCTGCCACCGTACGCCAAGGTTAGTTTCGCCTAATTCATTATCTTCTTCAGCCTAAAACCGACCCCCGTCGTTCCCCCATTTCCTCTCCCTCAAGCTCCTCTTTAACACTCGACGAACCCAAAGCTTGTACCGAATCACGATTTTGAAACGACTGGAACGCGTTCGTACCGCGTTTTGGATCGCATCGTACAGTACGTAGATCGTGGGCTGTTGAGCGATTTTTGTAACTATGGTCCGGCTGCGTTGTGACGGTTTTGAATTGTAGACTGTTTTGTGCTTTGGTAACAACATGATTATGGCTCCTCTTGCAGGGTGAAAATAAGCCTTTTAAGCCTTACACTCACCGGTATCATGTTCCTTTCTGAGCATCGAACAGTACCGCACCGTTTTGGTACTCGATAAAGAGAGCTTCGGCATACATCATAGTCCTGTCTTCGTATTCGGCCTACGGTATCAAACATAAATCCTATGCGTGGTTATACACTTGTATGCTGGTTGCTGAATTCATCTGGTAACTTACCAATGATTTTACCGTAGGTAAATGCACACCTCAGTACCAATGGCTTGAAGCAGAGCTGCCAAAAGTTAACAGGAGTGAAACACCATGGTTAATAGTTCTCATGCATTCTCCCTGGTATAAAAGCTACAACTACCATTACATGGAAGGAGAATCCATGAGAGTAATGTACGAGCCTTGGTTGTGCAGTACAAAGTTGATGTCGTATTTGCCGGCCATGTCATGCCCATGAACGATCCGTAAGCTCTTCGCCTATATTATTATGTTCTAGTAGAGTTGATTGAATACTGTACATTACAGGAACGTATATCCAACATTGCATACAATGTCGTAAATGGCATATGCATTCCTGTGAAGGACCAATCCGCGCCGGTATACATTACGATCGGTGACCGAGGGAATCTCGAAGGCTTAGCAACCAAGTAAAGATTGCTCTTCTCTTAAGCATATGATTGTTTCATACATGATTGTTACAATGATTTGATGTCAAATGCTCAGGATTTTTTCGTACTTGCAGCATGACGGAACCACAGCCGGCCTATTCGGCGTATCGTGAAGCCAGCTTCGGTCACGCCATTTTCGATATCAAGAACCGGACTCATGCTTATTGTAGTTGGCATCGTAACCATGATGGATATGCAGTTGAAGCTGATTCAATGTGGGTTTTCAACAGATTCTGGCATCCAGTTGATGAGACTTCAACCTCACAATGAGAATTAAACGTATTTCCATTTCTACAAATTTATTGTTGTTAGGGAACAGAAATCTTCTGCCCCTTTATTGTGCCCCTCTTTGTGGCCACCACTAATATTGTTACACGTGTCATTTTTATTTTTATAAAGTCGTGTAATCTCCAAAAAGAAACTTTCCTGTTTTACTTTCTTGTTTTTCTTTCCTAATTCCCATCTTCCACCTTGTCAACACTCGCTCTTCACGCATGTTGGTTGAGATCCTTTCCTCCTTTCTTACCATCCAATCGCATTCGCATCTTCGCTTCCTTTGCACCTACCTTAAATTAGACGGCTGAGAATTAAATATACACGTATATTAACATTTAATTTAATAATGAAAAGGAAATGCATTAATATTAAGATCAGTTCGAAGTCTACTGGTTAAGTAATTAGTTAAAAGGGGTAAAGTATACAAATGGGTATCAATTACAGGGCGTTACTTTGTTGAGTTTCGTAATTATTAAAAGTTATAATGATTTCTCAATTATAGGTCATTATTTTATTAAGTCCATTGATTATTAAGAGTTACAAAATGATTATTAGACTATTCATATGTTCTAAGTTCATCACTTTATATTAAAAAAACTTAATGGTAGTCTGAGTTTGACATTAACATATTGACTGCGATATGATAATCTTTTGAAATTCTGTAATCAGAATCACAGTAAGCAAGTTAACGTCTAGTTTAGACAATAGTCAACTTTTTAACAGAGAGACGAATTTGAAACACAGGAAAATGACTCAATAAAAAACAATATCATATACGTCGGTGACCGTTGTAACTTTTAATAACAAGATAATAAAACAACACTCTTGAATACGGTAAACTAGTCAAATTGGCCTATAATCATTTTCAGGACAAACTCTTCTTTTGAACTTGACAAGTTTGAATAAATTAGCTCTTGGATGTTATTTAGGTCAATCTGACCTAAAACTTGATCGATTCTCAGAATTTTTTTAGAATCAAATTAGTTACTGAATTTAATAATTTAAATGAAATTGACTCCTAAACTTTCTATAAACACGTTGTGTGAAAGACAAAGCAATCTAATTTAATCACTCAAGATGTCGATTTTTAAGGACGAAAATGAAATGCAGTAAAACCGTATTCCCTATCTAAAATAAAAAAAGAAATAAGGCTTGGCGGCGAATTTTATTTAGCCATATTTATTATTATTTTCAAAGTCATGAACAAATTAATTGCAGTCTAATTGATTAGGATATTGGGTTCTCGCCCGAAAGTACCGGCAACGAGATAAAATATTTCAAATAAATTAAAAAAAAACCCTTAAACAAAATATTTTAAATAAATTAAAAAACCCTTAAACGCAGACATATTTAATCATAACTCTTTGTGAATTGTTAATTCCTCTTCATATGTATTCAATTGGAAAAGATTCAAAATCCGAATAACAATGCAAGAGCCAGGCAGACAAGACAACCAAATAACCAATAGAGTAGCACTGATATGCCTATCAAAACCCAGAAAATCTATGGCTCCATTTTTAATTTACAAAAACAGTTTTTGATTATCCACAACCCTAATATAAACTAAAAAGAGATAAAGGGGAACCTACATCTTAATACATACAACCAAACACACTGCTGACTTCTATTGTCCGGTCCTCAAACTATATAAAACAGGGCACAAGTTTTCAAACCAGTTAATGTCGACACAAGGATTATGAACTTACGAGGCTATAGATTTTGATGCACACGTGCCGTCCTTGCTCCAAGCCTACTGCATGGTTAACAGTGAGAAAACGAGTGAAGCGACTAAAAAAGCTAGGTTTTATGTACTTTCTTTTTCACCTCCGGAGCCGTTTTGTATCCACCTGAAATATAATGAATTAACGATGATGTTTATGATTAGTAATACATACCAGCTGACGACGAATATGGTAACACCATTGGCAAGGTTGAAACAGAAACTTAAACCATACAAACAGGCACCCATAACAGCACCTACATTCTCAAAAAAGATGTAACTGTGGAGTACTGGAAAAGGATAGAAGCACAAGGAAGCCAGAATACCTTTGTATCCGAGGTTCTGGAAGTGGAATGGGAATTCTGCAATTTGTTCTGACCTTCAGAAGAACAGCTCTCGCAAAAGAAGTGGTCGAGTCTTTAGCCTCCTCCGCTTTCATTTCTATACAAGCAGGATGAAACCTGAATCAAAAGCAGTATGCTGAATATGGCAAGTATGCCTGATAAATTGGTTGCATTTTGTTCGAGTAAAATAAAAATGAGCCTTTGCAATTAGATGAAAGTAAATCAGACAAAATGTCTTTCCAGAACTGGCTAATAATTAATATCTCCAGAAATCTTAAATTTCTTAACAAGGATCAAACACAAGCTCACCCCAGGAAGCTACCTGAAGTGAAAAATGTAATAAGAATCTGTCCATTAACATGTTTCAACAAAGTGAGTGTCTTAATAACCCAAATACGAACATCATTGGCACAAAATTAAAGTTAAGCGACAACTTCAAATTTTCCCCCCTTCAATGCTATCTGGGTTTTCAATTTAAAATCTACCAACTCGATGCCAATAATTCATGATCATAAATCCAAGAGCCATTCGAGTGAAAGCTGTATCTAGAAAAGATCATCATCATCAACAGTTTATATCAACATGGTTAACTACAATTTATATCAAAACGACACCAAGCTTAGGGACAGCACCTTGACATAACCTTATAATAGAGAATATGTGTCCCGACATTTATGTTTTCATGTCAAGTGAAGGCACCAAAGATTTTGGTTACATCATGACTGTATAAATGCCTTTGGTTACATCATGACTATAATTTCCATAGCTCCACAAGAAGAATCGGAGGTTGGAAATTCCCGTGGCATAAAGAAGGCTAACTAAGCCTCATTTGAGCTTGAGTACGTATTTTGGTAAGCTAAAGTATAGGTGAATGCATTCATAATTCTACAAACAGAAATATATACACACATAAAGTCCTGCTTCCAAAGCAGAAAAGGAAGGGATTATAATTCCACTACAGGGCAAAACTTTAGAACTTGTTTAACCATTTTGCACCAGTCACAAATGACAGCTAAATAATACCAGTTCTGATCCTCTTAAGAAAGACCTGCTGATAAATGACAACTAAAACAATAATCTATATGCCACTCTATATAACTTTTATATTTCCTTGAATAGATCTATGAGAATGGATTTCATACAACTATCAACACAAGCATCCAACTTACCAGTCACTGCAACCTTCACACTGAACCATTAGGTCATCGGGATTGTAAGGCATCTCACATTTGCAATAACTGCCACATTACAGTAACAAACTAGAAAAGGTAAGAAAAGTAAAATAATCTAAAACGCAAAGTTGCAAAGCACTATTTAAATGAGTAAAAATGTTTACTTGATCTAACCATTTCCATCCAATAAATCTTTCATTTAGATCAACGAAATTTCAATAATTTTAAGTAGGAACACTGAACTATGCTAATCTAATTACACCCGAAAAATAATGTGTTATCATGAGAAACCATATGAAAAAAGTGAATCTGAGTAAACCCTATATCATAAAGGACTAGAAAAAATTACCTATATCATAAAGGACTACGCAAAATTAACTTACATTTTTCCTGGACATAATTAAACCACTAAATTTTTTCAACTTAAGGCTTCAGAATGCATAATTTAAGCATTTCATTAGGTAGTTATTCACATGAATTAAATCAAACATAAAGCATAAAAAATAAATATTTTTCTAATATTCAAGTCAACATTAATCAACTTATACTGACTAACTTAATCTTAATCAAGCAATAGCGGATGAAAATATCATTAGAAATACATTAAAAAAACGCCAATTAAGCCGTGAAAGTATAAATTTTGAGAGAGAAAATAAATACATATGAACTTGGATATCAGATATTTATAGCAAAATTAAAAGAAGGAAAAAAAAGGCATACACAGCAACGCGATCAGGGTTGAAAGCACCAGTGCGGGAATTATATTCGAAACGACAGAAGAAATCTCATTTCCGACGGCCTCAAGCTTGGTATAGCTCTTGAAGCTATGGACCGTACACTTTCCTTCGATGGTATCAGCGCTTTGCACATCGTAATGATCGGACAAAAGAGCTCCTTAGATCCATGGAACTGCCTCCGCCCTCCGATCGACTCCTCCGGCCTGTAGTACCACCCTGGCAAGCACCTTCACATTCCCACCACGTGAATCAGCATCGATCCGCTCGATTCTCGCCACGTACTGCGGGTTTGACTGATCCGCCGTCTCAGCAACACGCAATCACCAGCTGCCAATCACCACGACAAGTTTAAGGGAAAAAGAAAATCAAACAAACAAACCTTATCCTTAAATTTCTCACTTTTTTTCTTTTTCATGTTTCTGCTTACCTTTAATTGTCTTGTTGATGTGTTTGACTGTGTAAGACTCTAGAGGTCTCCTCGGAGCTCTAGCTTGGCCATGGAATAAGGAGAGAGAACAGAACAAAAGGAAAACTAAACGACAATTGCTTCAGAGAAAATACAATACAAACTACAAAGCATGCACAAGGACAATAGAGAGATTGTGGGCCGACCGAAATTGAAATTTAAAATTATTTTATTTTATTTTTGGACGGAGGTACGTTTCGGTGTTTTTGGGGGTTTAATCAGCGTTGATATTTATTTTTGACCAAGGATGGGGTAAAACACTAAGGTAGATGAGGCTCCACGTCACACTTGGGGGTAATTTGGTAGATTTTCAAGAAGGAGGATGTGGAGCGTGTGTGGACGGTGACGTTTCAGTTATGGAGAGCTGAGAGATAGGATTTGGTGCAACCAAGATTATCTTTACAAAAGTTGAGCTGCTTCGCTGAATTTTTGCCACGTATATGCCTCTGGAAAGGAAATCATTTATGGTACGCCACGCAAGCTTCTTGAACATTTCTGTAGTTAATTGTTACCACGTATCGAATAAAATACTATGTATTTTTTTAGTGTTTTATATTGTACCAATGGATAGAGTGGTC